GCAGCATGGTGGAAGGAATTCTAACATGGATCATACACAATAATGTTAAAGAAAATATAAAAGAAACAAAGAAAAAAAATAAGAGTCCCTTTGTCAGCTGGATTGCTAGCTATCTGTCTGACCTTGGAAAAGTGTGGTTACCTCTCAAGCCCCAGTTTTCTCATCTGTGAAATGAGAGGGTTAGGGTGGGGTCAGAAATAGCCCTGGAATGTAGAATATGTCCATTTCCGAAGGAATAGTTCTAGGATATGCTACTTGCATTGCAGATGAAATATTGAGGAGTAAAAAGTGTGCAGAAGTTGGCAAAGCCTTATATATGTTTATACTTTCAGTGCATCAACTGGTTTCTCTCCCAACCCGAGGACAAGCTACTCTTTGTTCAACATCTGTTGTTTGTACTTTTAATTTTTTTCTTCAACAGTTTTTTAAAAACAGATTTAAGTGACTGCTATCATTAGTAGGTGACAAACTGTCTTGTAATAGAATATTAATTTAAGAACTGAGAAATAACATGAAAGTTTAAAGTTTTTAAATAGACATAAGTGTTCAGAGTTGAAACTATATGATGTAGTTATTTGATTTATTGAGAACTACATGCACAAGGCTTTGCCAAGTCCTGCATGCTTTTTATTAAATATTTTCGTTGGCATAGCAAAAACCACAACCTTAAACTGTCCCTTTGGAAGTAGTCATATGCCAAACTCTACAGCTGTAATTGGCCTTCTGTAATCTTACCTTCTCCTTTCATAGGTGAGAAACGGTTCTTTTTCTGTATAATGAGGTCAAAAACATTCAGTGTTCCATGGTGTTCTACAAAGAAGATTGTAACAGTCAGATCCTGTGTTCCTTGAGCTTATTTGCAGAGTCTCAAAAAGAACTGATTTTATTTCATTTTTCTAATGAGAAAACTGAAGTTTGGTAAACTGTAACTTGCCCAAGTTTACAGCTAGTTAATTGTGCTCACAGGGCTTAAATTCAGGCATCCTGAATCAGTTTCCGTATATGCCTTCCTAATTTGGACTTCTTGCCAAAACATCAGTTTCTGGCAAGGGATGGAGTTTGCCTTATGCAGTGGTATCCCCAGAACCTCAAACAGGGTGTGGCTCCGCAGGGAAGGTGGCCAGCCAGTGACCCCAGGGATTGTTTTCTCCCTCTCCTGATTCCAGTGGATAGCATTGTTCCTTCCATGTGCAGATTTCTGAGGATATCCAGACCCTTGGGAATTGAGACCTAAGACTGAGAAGGAAGACGGGGATTCCTTCCTTGCCATTCTGACTTGTCAGTTCCAGTTTTCTGTCTTATGATGTTTACTGGATAGCAGTTTACTGGAAGGGGTAACACTGAAGGGAAAAGCAACCACTTCACATAAATTAATGATTCAGTTTCTAAGCTCTAAAAACAACAAACTTCTCAGTTCTCTACTCCCTTACTCTCCTAACTGTGTAAGTTTATGTGATTTAATTGTCCAGAAAACTTACTATCCATCCACTCAATAACCTTTACCTCCCCCTAGCAATTTGACTTCCCTTCTTTGCATTTGGGAGCATGATTTCCCCAGTTGGGGAGAGTTTTGGAAAAGGCAGGAAGGCGAGCTTAGGGACTGAGAAATAATAAAGAACAATACAATAATCATAACAACTCATTATTTGTTTTTTTAAGCTTGATCTTTCAGAAGGTACAGTCTGGAGTTGAATACTAATAGATGCAAGCTCTCTGTATGCAGAAGAAATCTTAAACAGTAGTGGTCATGGGGAAGGACATTAATCAGGAGAGAGAAGTGAGCCTTGAGCCTAGTAATGTTTGCATAATAGCTACCCTTGCGTGTATTGCTTGACTTAAAAATAAATATCCACGCTTTCCATCTCCAGTACAATTGGAAATTATTTGTGGTTATGATTCTCTTACACGATTCTCTACCTGTTCATGGGGACTTTAAACCAGGAAGCTGCTGGAAACCAACAAACATAGCAGTGCTTCTGAATGAGTCTGGGGTAGGCATTTAAAGAGGCTATATAATGTGGGCAATCTGTAGAAAATGAGCAGAGAGCAGGTCATAACTCTCTTTCCAGGAGGGGAAGGGTACGATCAAACTGGCATGGTTGGCATTTATATGCTTTCCTGGCTTACTTTGAACTCTGCAATAGTTTCTCATCACCTGCAGGATAAACCCCAAGTGCCTTATCTTGACAGAAGAGGTGCTCACTGTGGGGGGGGGGGGATCCTTTGGTCTCTGAAGCATCTTATCTGAGACCACTCCTCACCTCAGGGAGGATAATCTACAGCGTTTTGCAGCTTCCCTTAGACATCACAACTTAACTTCCATGTCTTTGTTCAGGATCTTCCAAATCCTCTTTGCTCATTAATTCTGCTTACCATGAAGAGTTGGCTTAAACTTCACCTCCTCCAAGAAATCTTTGAACTCTACAGCTAGCCAGTAAGTTTTCCCCCAGCTTCTAATATTTTTCTCTCTTTTCTTTCTTTCCATCTTCCCTTTCTTCCCTTTTCCTTTCTTCTCTTCCTGGTTCTCCTTAAATAGACTTTGTCCTGGGGAATTTTTTTATTGTCTTGATTTATTGCTTGTATGCCCCAAATGTTATTACACAAGTGCTTTAAATTAATGAATTCATTTTTCTTCTTTTCTCTATTTCTCTTTTCTTTTTCTTTGGATTTCTGGGAAATGTTTTAATAAAATCTTGAAAAGAATAGGCTCTATAACTGTTTTTGAAGCTCTGTGTTATTTCAAGCCCTGCATGAACTGCCCCCCGACTCAGGCAATTGCCATAACCTTATTCCTATCCTAATATGGATATTCTACTTCAGTCAGGAGAACATCCTATGGTATAAAGATCTGAACTGATTTGTTCTTGCAGACTTGTGATTGGCTAATATTTTCTCCTGCTTCTCCCTCCCTGTCCCCTGATACAGGGTTTATATCGTAGGGTTAAGCAGCACCCACTGACTCCTTCATCCATGCCTCTCCTCTCATAGGTGCTGTGTTCACAAGATACGTCTCCTCGACTTCCCATACCAATTTTGCCCTTCCTTTCTAGGCTCCTTCTGCAGTGTCTATCCATATGTCTTCAGATACTTAAGTACAGTCGCAAAAGTACTGAAAATGACCCCTTCTGTTGACATATCTACTTATAAAGCTTTTGTTTTTTTGTTTGTTTGTTTTATCCTTACTATATACAGATGAGCAGCTATTACTTTTATTTTACAAAAAAGAAAATTGGTTCACAATCATTGACTTGTTAAGCTTCAAGTCTCCTAAGTTAAGTTTAGAATTAGACTCTAATCCAGTGCCCTTTTGCAACACTATAAAGGCTTGATAACCTATAAAGACTACTTTCTTTCCTTTTCTCCAGGCGTCACAGAGCCTGGGGGAGCTCTGCCTGGGGAGCTCCCAGAGGGCACTGGACAGAGGACTGGACTGGACACTGACCTGCATTATGGCCGCGATTGGGCCACTACTGGCTCTGTGCCCCGAGACAGTCACTTTACTCTGAACTCCAGTGTCCTCATCTATAGCAAGAAGAGTGAGGCATGTGTTTTCTTTGGATTCTTTTGACATTAATTTCCTTTCTGTTTCTATCTCTCTCCCATCTGGCTCCTTTTCTCTCTCTGCCTTCAGTCAGTTCTGCAACTAATCGTTGCACATCAATACCGTACAGAGCATTGTGCTAGGAACCCTAGGGAGATGCTTGCAGCTCATTATGGAAAGGGAAACATTCTTTCCTCTTTCCCATTCTCCTCCTTTTTATGTCTGTCTTTCTGTCTGTGTCCTCCTCGAGTGCTCAAGCAGCCCTCCTTATTTCCATGGGTTTTCATGGTTTCTGCTGTGGTCAAGGGCAGGGCCTTCAGCCCTGGGCCAGTGAATGGGTTTAACCTGCCTGTGGTGCATCCAATCACTCGGGACTGGTAAGTACTCAGTATGAAAACCTGGAGGGCCTTGTCAGTGCTGCTCCAGGGCTCTGTGCATTTGGATGCACAACACAGCATTTTTGGCTAACTCTATGTGAGAGTAAATGAGAATAAAATGCCACTCTGAGAAATTTAAAATTTCAGTTACTCTCTTCTAAAATTCCATGCCATTCATGCCTTAAAATAATCTTTTTTTTTTTTTTGAATAGTTTTAGAATCTAGGTATTTATTTTTCTAAAGGGACCATTTCCAACCTAAGACAAATGTTCCCTTGGGGAATCATTGCTGTCATTAGATGCTCACAACTTCTTGCCCTTGTTAATCAGTTTTCTCTTCTCATTCCCCTTTTGTCTCCCACATAACCTGTATGTACATGCACTTCTAGTTTTGCCCCTAAAGCTACATATTTTTACAATTAGTTTAGGTTTCCTAAGACTCTCAGAGTTCTTTCCATTTGAGTTGCCAGTGGATGAGATGCTGACCACATGATCATTTTCCTCGGAACAGAATTCAAGTATACATGTCCCCTCTCTACTACCTTTAGTCTTCTTTATTTCCATAGAAGTGGATAGTTGTTTCTCATTACATAACAAAATTACTAGTAATTTTTGGAACTCCAAGAGGATACAGTAGAAGGAACTGGAAAGAAGGGAGCAAAAAAATCATGGTTAGGCACCTAGCCTGCCTCAGTAGATGAGTTGAGAACATTCATATGGTTTAATCATTTCAGTAATTCTGTAAGATTTAAACTTGATGTTTATGTGGAAACTGGATTCAGAGGGCTTCCATGATCTACCCATTGTTCCACAGCTTGTGAAAGGGCTAAGATCTGAACCTAATCTCTGTGACTCCAAATTTCATGAGGGGGTGTTGAGGTAGACTCTAGAATGTTGGACAGGATGGGCAGGGAAAGGGTGAAGAGAAGGCTTTAGCCTGATGCAAGATTCTTGGCATGCTTCTCTTTCCCTTATTCCTACCCCAAATGTAGACTATTTTGGCAAAATATAGATCCAGCCCTTTGTGGTATTTTGATGAGAGGGTCTTCTACTAATGGGACATCTCTCTTTTGTCTTTCACAGCAATTTTGCAGGCAGTAATAGCTGGTGATCTTATGAAGGTAAGCTATCTTCCTACCAAAATTTTTGGTGATTCTTTAACAACTTTAACCTCATTTCTCACCACATTTTCATGATCTCTTGTATGTCATCTATCATCCATCCCTCTGCGGTGCTAGCCGACTCGAAAGGGGAATGAAGTTCTTTGGGGAACTGGACAGAGAGGGCCAGAGGAGTCTTCATAGCATCTCCACATTTCCTAACAGCAAAGGATGTGTGCAGGGGTACTGCGCTGGTTTCCTCCACTCATAACATGGACTGCATGTTCCCAGGATGCAATGCTCACAGTGCCCCAAATTCCCGCTATCTAGGAGCTGATATTTGGAGTTTTAAGGTTTCTTTTTAGACAGGTCTTGAAATGAATGCATTATATGGATAATACCCAGAAATACACTCTTCGGGCCAGAGCCTCCAGCTTCTAACATTATTAGAGTTTTGTCCTTCAGGGATCACAATTAACCAAAAGAAGATGCTTGGTCTGATCTCCTTTGAACATTTTCATTTCTGCGTATATATTCTTAGTTCAGAGGGAAGGAAGTAGTCACTGCTGCCTCTGGAGTGAATACAGATTTGGGAGTCAGACTGCCCGCGTTCAAATCTTGGCTCTGCCATTCGTTGTATGTGTGACTGTATTTAATTCTCTCTGTGCCTCAGTTTCTTCATCTGTAAAACTGAATAATGTTGCCTCTATCCTTTGTCATGAGAATTGAACCTAACGATACACGTAAAGCTCTTAAGACTGTTTTTATTACATAGAAGCGACTCTGAAATGCCAGCTAGTAGTGTTAGTCTGTGTCTTTTTAATAAACATAGTGGAGATGCAAATATTGTTATAAAGTGTGTACAGTCTATAAGTATTCTAAAAGTTATATTTAGTTTCATGTCATTTTCAGGCATTGGGACTTAGGGCGACCTGCATATCCCTCTGTAACCCACACTGGCTTGATCGGCTCTGTAATATTGGCACCTGCGGGAGACAGAGGCTGTACCTGCCAGCCTCTGGAGAAGGGTGCCATTGCAGATTGAGAAACCAAGAGCCTTAAAAGAAAGCTGAGAAGCACTGACCTTGTGTGCAACTTCTTCTGAAGTGCATGTATTGAATGCATATAAACTGAGAACCCCCTGTGCGACAGTATGAAGAGGTTACTAATAGGAAACAAACAGTCAGGAGGTCCCAAGCATCCTGATAAACTGCCGTCTTAGGCACATAATCCTGGAAGTGGTGCCTGTGCCACTGTCTGGGTCATAATGTTACCAGCCATTGTCACCCACAAGAGAAAAGTGCTCTCCAAGTGGTGAACCTAGGAGTTTGATGCTGTTGCCCTGCAGTGGATTAAGCCAATATTATCCTATACTCCCTGCAAAGCCTTATGTGAGATGCTTTGGGCAGTAAGATGTGATTCCTGCTCTTAAAGAGCTTCTAAGCCACAAATTATTTGCAAAACTACTATATTTGAAATCCTTTTTGATTTTTCCTCTGCTTTTAGCCTAGGCAACATATTTTCCAGGTCCCTGGGTATATAGCCACATTTTTTTCATACTTAATAGAGAACTATTTGAAATATGGGAAATTACTGTATTCAGTGGATTGTCTTATTACCTTCTCTGTTATAATCATTTCCTAAGTGCCTGAGAAGTTACTTAACCTTATTTATTGGGAGATGAAATATAATGACTTAGGGTGTTTCTTTCTCATTCTTTTACATTCTTTCCCTCCCAAGTATTTTTCTTCCCCTTTTCTTTCTTCTTCCCCATCTTCTTCTATGTCTCTATTCCATGCAGAAAGCACAGTACACATTAACTATTAAACTGTGTGTATGTAAGAGAGAAAGTACACACCAAATAGCAGAGAACAGAAGAACCCAGGAGTCGGTGTGAAGGCTGTTGGGAGTGGTTGCTGTGTAACTCAGCGGCATAAGATACCCATGGACTAACTGAAGGGCCACAGTGTCAAAAACACTACAGAAAGGCACAATCAAGGCAGCTGATGGATGGGCCTGTGCTTCTCTGTTGAGCCCGAATCCTTTGTGCCTCTGCCTACAAAGAAAGGGAGTATCATTGTAAGACTATCGTCGAGCAGTACTGGACATGTTTAGATTCTTTGTGGAAAACCATTAGCTACCTCTTGCTGTCCTGTAGCCTTGTACTTTAGAGATAAAAGTCCCCGTATGTTCTTTACATCCATTCAACTATTCCTTTTTGATCTATTTTCTGGAAAGTCTTCTGTGACTCTTCTTTACCCGTTAATAACCTCCTCATGTTGTTCTCCATTCCTGTGTCTGTCTTTGCACATCGGTCTCCCCCATGGACTGCGAGGTCTTGAGGCCAGTGACTGAGTCCTGTTTATACTTGTTTCCCTGGAATCTGGCACATGGCAGTTCCATGGTTGGATTTGACTGAAATCATGAATTATGAGTTGACTCTTTGACCTTATGAGATGTTTGATTTTATATATATATATAAAATGTGCCATCTAATTCTTTCTTGGTGATAGTTACATTCCTTTTGCTTGGTACCTTCTGGATTATTTTATTCTTATTTGTCCTAAAACTACCCTTTATAAGCTGCAGAAAGACTCTGTGTCCTGCTGTACTGCAGTTTGGAGAACAGAAACCCACTTACACTTTCTATAATGTTCAGTATTTCATGAAATTAGACCATATCCTCACTTCACCACATTATTCTCAGGCTACAAAATCTGTGGGGTTTTTTCTAGTCTGTTCTCACAGGTGTTTTAGGTGTCTACTACTACATTCCCTGAATCCTTTTGGTTCTCACCCTGTGGGTCATCTCTAGCCTTCTTGGGTATGGGTTGGGTGGTTAACAGAAGGCGAGAGGCTGGACGGCAGATCAGGGTGAAGAAGTGAGGCCGTGCAGATGTGTGCCCGTGTCTGCTATGTGCACGTGTGCTGTGACCTCCCGCAGGAAAATGGGAAGCAGCTTCTGGATTTGGTAGCTGGGTTCATTAGAGGTTGAAGAAAAACTGGGGGCAAGGAAAGGCGCTTAGCTACGGGACACCAAGCTATTCCTGTCTGCAGCCTTAATTATCCTTTCACTCAGGAGAGAGCTCAGCCAACAGAGGAAAACGTTTATTCTCTTCGCTGCCCTTCACTCCCTTGGGACAGAGACCAGTGCCCAGAAAAGAAAAAGACATAAAGCAGAAAAGAAATAAGTAACTCAGCATGTTTCAGTTTCCTTGGGCTGTTCAGTGCCCACAGACCCTCTCCCGAGTCAAGTGAGATGCTGGCCATCTATTTGAGTGATAACACAGACCGGGAATGTTACTTCCTCCCTTTGACTTTTCTGTGTCCTCTGTGGCTAGAAACGTTTGTGGTTTGCTTCATCACTCTTCTTTTTATCACCGGTTAACTGTTTTCCTTGTTCCGGACCCTGCCTGAGCTTCTTTTCCTATGTCTCTTTTGCAGCTAATAGAAAGCTATAAAAACGGAGGGAGTCTGCTAATTCAGGGACCAGACCACTGTTCACTCCTTCACCATGCAGCTAAAACCGGCAACGGGGAGATTGTGAAATATATCCTTGACCACGGTGAGTAGGTACAGTGAACCAAGGATCACTTCTCCATGCAATAATTGAATTTTCTAAATTGACTTTCTTCCAGGCTATGTTCAGAATGGTAGAGATGCTCTCCAAATTTTAGCTCACTCCCCCTGCTTATTGGAGGCAGACAGAATTGCAGACCACTGACACATGTCGGTCACCATAATCAAACATTTCATAGAAATAATTTTCATATCAAGGTCTTTGCAGGATATTTTTGAGCTAAGTAAAAAATAAAAGACAAAATCAAATGCCACCTGATGTAATATGCTGTATTGTTTTGTGAAGAGCGTTAAGTTGACTGGTTGGGACGAGGTACCAAATTCGTGTTGATAGCATGATAAGCATGTGTTTTTCTTCCCCCCAGCTTCCTGGCTTCTCTCTCTCTCTCTCTCTGTCTCTCTCTCTCTGTCTCTCTCTGTCTCTCTCTCTTGCTCCCTTTTTCCGGTTTGAATCTCATTCATCTATCAAATTAAGCCACATTTCATTCTCTTTGAAAACATCTGGTACTCGTGTGTCTTCTGTGGTTAGGTGATTTCGACATGTAGCATGTACGTTAGCATCTTTCCCTAATGGCCCTTTAAAGGCATAAACACATGAACGAACACCAAATCTTGACCATTACTTTCAGCTTCCCATGTTTATAGTGTCTCTAGGAATACTACATTTGATCTTAGCCAAAAGGCCGAGAAGCGATAGTGTCTCTAGGAATAAAGAACAGGAGTAAAGGGGAAAAAAATCTGCCTGGCTTGGGTGTTTTTGAGGAAGCAGGAGTGGAGTAGCCTCTAGCTCTGCTAGGTATAGGTACACAGAGACCTTGGAAGATTTTCTGTGAGCCCCGGCAGTGACCCTGTGGCATCCAAATTCAGGCCATAAATAGTAAGCATATTAGTAGACATGCACATTTGCACGTTACTTTTTACTCCTCTTTTATTCAGTTCAACACACGTCTTACTCCTTTCAGTCATTCCACAGATGTTTGTGGAGTGCCTAACAGGAACTACCTGTTATAGAGCAGTGGACACACACACACACACACGCACACGCACGCACGTGCACGATACAGTCACTAGTTTCAGGCAATTTCCGGTGAAAAAATATAATCATATGCAGAATGAAATTGAAAACAGTTCTATATAGATGGTTTAAGTCCTATTGTAAAGCCACAGGTAGATAACACAGCTGCCATTTGTCACACACTTCTTATATTTCAGATGCTTCTACTAAACATATCCTATGTCGGGATGTGACACATCGATTGTCAGTTACATTTGACACACCTTGTTTTGTCCTCAGTTCCTCCTCACCATGAAGAGTTTCCTTGAAACCTTGGCCCGAGTGATGGTGGAAAGAATGGCTTAGGAAAAAGAAAAGGTGTTTGAAGTCGGATGGTGGTTATTAGAGCATTTCTTGCCCCCTGCACGCTGGGCCTGACAGTCCCAAGCCAGTGTACTTTGGAAAGCCTGGGTGGTTGGCTGTGTCCTTGGTACCGTGTCTGCGGTGTGCGTCTTTTCATCTCCTGTCCCCCTGCCCATTCTACCGCCTGCGATGAAAGCGTTTCTCTTTGGGCAAGACTTACAAAGCAATGGCGGCATGATCTCTGCTTGCCTCCTTCACACGCACACACACACGCACGCACACACACTCAAAATCATAGGTGTTTTCTCTTCCCCGTAGTGACTTCTCCCAAAGCTAGCGAGAGGCAAAAGCAAATGTTAGAACCCGGCCCCACGGGCAATGAAGCACAGAGCTTCTGTGATTCTTTTTGTCTTAATAGAAAAGAGCTCAGGGTTTCTATTGCACAAAATGCAGATGTGCTTTAGATATACAGACTGTCAGTTTGTCTTTAGCTCAAGTGAAGGTGCTCCTGGTTGCTGTCTTCTTGACCATTCTCAATCCTTTCTTACTCGTTTGTCCTTTACCCAATGGGATTGAATGCTTGCTCACATATCTTAAGCTGTTCAATACCCACATCTCCTCTCTGGAGTTAGGTGTGAGACTGGCCATCTGTTTGAATGCTAACACAATTTAGGGTCTCTGTCTCTCTCTCTTCCTCTACCTCTCCTGAAGAGCTAGAATTCCATCTCCACATCCCCCTCGCCCCCGCCACGGGTTCTGGAAACCTCTATCAGTTACCTGTTGGTATCTCACTTGGTCTCACTCAAGAGGCTGCAGGGAACCACACTTGTGACTGAGTCTGTATTGAAGAGGGACTCCCCAACATGTTTGGGGCTCTCAGCTGAGATGGCTGGGATGCCCGGGACACCTGGGGCCTTTCTCTATACCTATCCTTGTATCCCAGGCTTCTTCATGGCATGACAGTCCTAGGGCTCCAGGAAGATGGAAGCTTCCAGACATTCTGTGGGCAGGCTGGAAAGTTCTGCATCATCTCTATAGTATTCTGTCCGCTAAAACGGTCACAGGGCTGGCCCTGACTCATGGAGGGGGGAAATGGCCCCCACTGCTCTGTGAGAGGAGCTGCAAATAATTTTTGGCCAGATTTAACCTACCACCTTCCTAACTCTATCTTCTTCAGTTGAAAATGGTGAGCCTACCTTCTCAGTGTCCTGAACTACTGTGTCACCCAGAATCCCCTGGGCCTCTGCTTTTATATGTTCCTTTGGTTCTCAGTCCTAAGGTTGACTAGCAACAATAATTCTTTGAATTTGCAAGTTCTTTAACAACAGTTTCCCCTCTTTTTAGCATAAGCATGACCCATGTAATATTTGGGACATACTTATACCAAAAACAAAAACAAAACCCCTCTCCTCCGTTGCGTGTCCCCAGGGGCATGAGATGATAATTGGTCTAGACCCATGGATTTTCACTCCCCCACTACTTTTTCCACTGCCTTAGATAAGAGGGCCTCTAAAAGCTTGCTGTTTCTAACCCCATCTGTGGACTGGTGCACGCCTACTTTGCCTGATGTGAAATCAAGCTGGTACTTTCGTTAGTCTCTTCATGCTGTAACCAAAGCCTGACACCCCAGTATTCAACTTGTGTCTCTTCCACCCCCAGCACCTCTTGCAAAGCATGAGTCACACAATACAGCTCTCTCTGTCAAAATGGAAGGACACAAAGCAAAATTAACATAATTTTGGGGGAGGGGGTGTTTATTTTTCCAGGATTTTTTTTGGTTCGATTTTAATAATATGTTTAGTAACTATAATAATGAGGGAAAAAAACCCTTGAGATTCCAAACATCTCTACTTGCCTCATGGGCAAGCCATTCCCAAGGTCACAGGAGGCATCTGATACCCTCCCCGCCTCACCAGGATCTCTCATTGGCCGGTACATACCTTAGAGTGAGACTGGAGATACGAAGCACAATCCATCTTTCTGTTGGGAAATAAAATCTCATTATGCTCTCTAGTCCCAGAATCACTGCAATTTTGAAGGATGGTGATTTTTAACCTTTTAGTACCATAGCCAAATAATAGGAACTAAATTGCAGTTGATTTTTATTGAAATTAGTACTAGCCAACCTGATAGGCCTCATCAATTCCATCTCCCTAACACTGATCTCATTATTTCTCTTTATTCAGGAATACACATGCGAAATCTTTTGGCATAGCCAGTCTAATCCAGTAGGTTCTTAAGAGCTCAGCGCTTCAGCTCAACTGTCTTTATTGTTGCTGTTTGTTTTCGTATCTTTAGGTGCTGATATAATTTCATTAGCCTGTGCATTTTGAAAAACGCATCTCTTTTAAGTTATAGAAACCCCTGTAAATTATAGTGTTCTTGAAGTCAAGGACAAGCACACGGGAAACATGACCCTTTCTCTTCTCTGTACCCATTACCTTAATGTGATCTCTGTTCAGTGAAATAGTCTCTCCTAATTTAACATGATGATGGCTCTAGAATCCCCTTGGTCTGACAAGGAAAATAGCCTTTTCTAAGAGAATTTAGTGAGGCTGGGGTTCAGGATGTGTATCAGACTGTGGCATTATGTTTATAAGCTAGCATCAGTTTTGTGGTAGACAGGTCTGATCAATATGAATTCATGTAAATGGGGAAAAAAGTGGAAATTTTACACTGCACCAGAGTTGGAGAGGGACATTCCTCCTCATCTCTCGAATGCTGCAGATCTTTTGAAGTTTTAGTTTTTTGTTTTTTGTTTTTTTTAATTTGGTTTAAGTCTTTCCTGTGACTTCATATGCCATAAATCCTAAAACCTGTTCGAAGACCTGACTGTAAAGATATGCTAATGACAGGGCTCTGGAGAAATCGGTAGGCACTTTGCAAGTTGCCTGAGAGCATACTGGCTGGTTTTCTGTCCTGCATCCTTGCTCAGGTGGGAGCCCCTCTCCCCTCTGCTTTGCCCACCTCTTCGCTGGTTATTTGTGGTGAGCAGTGGGGTCCACAGTCGGGAGGGTGCCCCCTGAGCAGGAGTCATGAGAGATTAGCTGTTCCCCCAGACACCACAGTAAACAACACATTTCTGTCCTAAGTGTTCTCTGGAAACCGGGCTGTGGGGCTAGGGGCAGGAGATGTGTGGTGAGTTCTGAAAAGCCACAGGAGGCTGGAATTGTTTTCTGTCCTCCTTCTTCTTTGGGACCTTTTCTCTCAAATACACAACCTGCTGTTTTCCTTTCTGAAAAACTGGAATTTGGGCATTTGGAGGGTTGCAGAGAGAATGGAAGAGGAAGACAGAGAGCAATCCCACAGGGCCAGGGTGGAGAGGGAAGGACGCGAGGGGCTCCATTCCCGGGCCCCCAGTGGCTCCCGCTTTTCAGCTCCTTTCAACCATATTTTCTCCCCACTCCTTCCTCCCTCCTTGAACCCCTCAGAGGGACTTTTGTGTTGTTTTAGGCTTTTACCACCCCGCACATCTCGCCCCTTTGTTTTTATCCCCCCCACTCCCACCCCTCTGCCCCCCTACTGCGCGTCCTGATAGAAATCTCACTCATGCATTTCCTTTTTGATTTCAATGGCTTATTTTGTCTTCTCTCCTTTTCTGTCTTCAGTCTTTCTTTTCTTTTCTTTTA